TTTCATTTATACTGAACTAATTTAATGAAATAAAAGTAGATATTTGTTTTTTTTTTCTCAATGATCGGGAGAAACAAATTCGCGATTTTTCTGTTGAATTCTTTTTTCGAATTACATAAATGCAAAAATCTCTTAAAATATCTATGTTTAATAAATAAAGAAAAACCTTTTGTGGGATTATCATTAAATTGTTTCAATGACTTTTTCTTTATACAGAAGATTTATTTTGCAAAGTATTTCAATAGAATTTGATAACTGAATGATAAATGTTTGAAATAAATAAATTGAATATGCTTCTTTTGTTCAACAGACACTTTGGAATATATTGTAAGAAATAAAAAACCGTAGAATAATAAATTCTATACAAGGATATTTCATCGCCATAAACTGTTTTTCAATACATTCAAGTTTCATAACGTAAATATAAAAATTATCTAAATAAATAATAGATGGTGAAATCCTTAGAATTGTATGTAGAATTTTCAAATGTGATTTTTATTTACAATCTATGAAATCCATTCATTGACGAAAGAAAAATTTCGATGGAAATAAATATTTATTTATATAAGAATTTCGTGGAAAATAACATAAAATTAAAATAGTTTTCAACACTAACTCGAATACTTTATTTCTGTTATACTCACCGTCAAAATTTGAGGAAAACTCAAGCAATGGTCAAAGAATGCACGTTATTCTGACTCATTTTAAATTTATATGGAACGAAGAAGTAGAAGTATCTCTCTTTTCCTATTCCTAAATTTTAGTTGTATTACTATTTACAACGATCGACAAGTCCCTTCTTTACTCTTTTTCCTCCTACTAAAAAATGCATATTAACAAAGATAAACTTTTTTATTAGTTTGTAATTGTCGTTTTTCTTCTATTTCAAGATCGATCTCTCATCATCGGATATAAAGAATGGAAAAAAAACCTGAAGAGTAATTTTTGAGAGCATTCTATCTCTTCATTATATTTCACTTTCTCTTTTCATGATAAACACTACGAGTATATTTTTTACATACGCGCATGATATACTAATGAAATCGACGTATAATAATATTATTTATCTCATTAATGAAAGATTTTTTAATAGATATGATACAATAAAAAAAAACTAGTAACATAAGAAGACATGACAATCAAAGAATAATTTTATTCAC